AGCATGTGCAGACTGATCTAGCTCGCTTCGTCCAGACTGGAGTGTGAGATGACTCATTAAACGCCAGGGCATCTCACATAGCATCAGGAATATTTATATAATCCAAAATTTCATGAAGTTTACTTTTTATGGGAATCGGAACTACAAGTATGTTTTTCATGATATCGAAAGCATCATTTAAGTTATTGCCTAATATCGGAACAGCATCAAAATGTATATCAAATGGATTTGTATACATATGTGTATAGCGTTATACATTCGATACGGAAAATAGCTCGCTATAAATGCCGAGAATCGATTTTCCTCGATGACGCAAAAAGACGGCAGAACGACACACACACACACACACACACACACACACACACACACACACACAGCACAGCACAGCACAGCACAATGAGAAGGGGGCATAACTCCGCAATGCTTAGGACTAGTCCATAGTAACTGAGATACATTTATGAGAATTTGCTGTGGATAATGACAATATGTCTTTGTTGACGAGGAACCAACTTATTCCAACACAATATTAAAACCGTATAAGTTTGGTATGTTCACAAATCATAAGAAAGTATGAAATCGTACTACACCAAAAAAGGAAGTAATAGCGAAATGGATGTCCCTATCTATCATGTAAATTAGCCATTAGATTCCCACATTCACCTGATTGTGTAAGTGTTATTTGGATAATTTTGCACCATTGTACTAGTCTCCCTGGCGTGGATGATTCATGTCATCGAATCCCAATTGTGTAGATCGATGCTTCTGATGTCAATCACTGGATTGTATGGTCAAGACTCCAGTATTTACAAACCACCGTCATCTAGAAGGAATATTGCCGACTGCAGCGTTAAACAAGAAATAAACACATATAACTTGTACACGCAGTGAGTCACAAAAGCTTATCAAACATGATCTATTCAGGAACAAATACAATTAAGTAAAACAAACACAAACTACTGTGTCGCAAACATGAGACGTCTCTCATGTCCAGTAGGCTTGTCTTCAGTTAAAACTCGACAGTACTTCAGATATACTTCAGGTTCTGCCAGCTGGCACACTTCCACCAGTAAATCATTAAGTTAATGTTGAACATAATAAAAGATCGGGATTATCCTCTAGCTTCGTTTGATTTGAAAATAGCACTGTTACCGTGAACAACTACTTTGGCAGCCAAGTTCTGCCATGTCGACGTTCTGAGTATGTATTAGTGCTGGAGACTTGCTTCAGACCAACTGGTACATAAGCACAACTTCAAAATATCTCATATCCTGGTATTTAATAAAGTTTGTTGAGACAAAGATTACTTCAGAAGTTTTTGTAAGTATTTAACAACCTGTCCCCCCTTCAATTGGACTTCCAAGAAATAACTTTGTTGAGTTCAAAAAGTGCAATATACGCAACAGCTGACCATTAAATTCTTAATGAATACGAACCTACATCAGAAAGACTATTGGTGTCGTGATTATCCAAAGGTACCCGTGATTACTTATGTGATAGTGTTACAACTGGATTCTCCGAGGACATATCCGATATTTACATTTCAAAACACACACACAATACCGCCTTAAATAAAGTTAGTAAGAGATATTTGCGATGTACAAAATTTTCGGTGGACATTTTCAGTAATTTTGCTTTGACTATTAAAATGACTGCGGGTATCACAGGACGGAGAATATTCCGCAGAATTCAAATATGTGCGTGATGTACTTTCAGGTTTTTTTAACTTCAAAGTGAGGGTTGAAGAGCAAGGACATATGCTCCCATTGTTCGCCGCTCTGGTTCACCGATTGAACATCATTTCAGTTTTATCAAGGCTGTCTCAGCTTGATGTGGGAGGGAAGCCTGAAGTACTCAAGTACTGTCGGAAGTGCAAGAAAATGCTTTTCTGGCTTCATTCAATAAATACGAATCATAGGACTATGAAAATAGCACATATCAAAATAACGCAAATCTACCTAATCTAGCATATCCCAACTGACACTGTGATTAGCCTTAAAAGGCACCTTTACAAGAAAGGGGGCACGGGTGGCCCAGCCGTCTAAGGCGCCGCGATTCGCTGTGCAGAGTTGCATCCCTTGGGCACGCTTGAAACCTATGGTTGTGGGTTCGAATCCCGGTTCGCCCCGATCATGTGTCTAGGTATGTCAGCACCATACCAGTGCTCGTGGGTTTCACCGAAGTGGTAAACGTCTAGGACCTGCATCACTTCGGGCTTTCCTCCCACATTAAGCTGACACGCCGTGGTATAACTGGAATACTGTTAAAAGCGGCGTTAAACCCAACTCACTCACTTTACAAGTAAAATGATAATCAACTTAGAAAATATTCGTGTGTTGTCATGCATGTATGAAATGGCCCATAACCCGAGGTGATGACGTCACACCGGCTCGTGCATTTCTCCCAGGTGCAAATGTCACCTGAGCTGTGAGTCGTCTCAAAATATTGCTGTTATTGTACTTTATTGTGAAAAGATACTTTAAAAAAAACTTGTTAAAAACTATGAAACGGATGAGTATTGGAAGGTTGTTGGTTGTTTTTTTTTATCAAGAAGTATTTGTTGTTCCACAGATGATTCCTCTAGCCAGCATCTGACTCAGCTGATGAATCTGTAATATTATCCAAGGGTATGATAACTAGTGCAACAAGGTTGATATCTACGCCATCACGTTTGCGGAACTCAAGTTCTATTTCAAAACGTGATCTACAGCCTTTTGTCATACCTAGCGTGATTCTAGCAAAGGCTGCGTTGATCAACCCTTTGACAAGTGTGAGTTTGAATGTTGCGTTATGTCTTATGTTGTGCCGCCAGGACATCTGTCTTGTACTTTGCTGGTTTCTCATTCAGGCGAATTTTCTCCATCAGTTGAACTTTCGTTTATAATGTTATGAAGTCGACATAGATGTCAGATATTCCTGCATGGTCGCCTTCAGACTGCATGGCGCGACACTAGCTGGTTCCCGGACGTTGGGATAACTTGCGCTATTCATGACAATGACACTGTGGTTGTTTAGACTGGGCAGTAGCTGATGTTCCAACCAGTCTATTAACACATCACCATTCCTTTCCTTAGAATAAACAGGTTTCTTTTTCGCCTAGAAACCTAGCCCTCAATTAGCCCCACATCACGGGGTCCGGCGTACAATACAACGACAGGATTACCTTTACCTAATGGTACTGTGGGTGTTTTCGTCCTTCTAACGGTAGGCACATGTAGTCAGTGGAATAATTCTTATGGTATGGATGACCTGACTGCGATAGTCATGAATGTTGCGGAGATAAAGTGACCTAAAAAACAGGATGGAAGATTTTACCCTGAAAACTGCTCGGTTATCGTCATGTGCAGTGTATCGAAATCCCATCTCATGGAGAGTAAAAATTAATATAGTTCTGGAAACATAAGGTGTGTCTTTAATTTCCTCCCGAACTGTACTACAAGTCTACCTTTGCTCCTATCTGAGCGTGTACAGTGTAAGCCTAATCGCTCCAGTCAACAACAAACGTTCCTGTGACATCAATATTTTAGTGAATTTTTCAAACAAGTAAAGTTTGGTTTTCAATATTGTAGTACATGTATGGAACCAAGTCACAAAAACGCAACTGCTACAGAAAAGCATGCATTCCGTGCAAAAGTTGACTTTTATGCAAGCCCCATGCATTTCACTACCCAAGAATCGGTATAAAAACATGTGCGTTAACGGGATTCCATATGCATTGTTAAGCATCGTGCTGACAACAACCACTCAGAAAAACAACAAAATTACGCAACTATTCAACATTACGAAATGCCACGCCTGTCCGAAAATGAGCGTCTGCGAGCCATTGGTATGCTTGAAGCAGGGTCGAGTCAACGTGATGTTGAAAGACAATTTAACGTCCACAGAATCACCATTTGGTGTTTATGGCAACGTTGGCAACAGACGAATGCAGTCAGAGGCCATCCTCGGAGTGGCAGGATACGCGTAACCAATAATCGACAAGATAACTGGATTCGATCAACACACCTACGAAATCGATTCCAGCCAGCAACAGTGAATACAAGGAGCATCCCTGGCTTCGACGAATACCTTCACAAACCGTACGTCGTCGCCTCAGATGTCAGGGATTGTCGCCAGAAGACCCGCCAGACGTCCCATTTTGACAGGAAACCACCTTCAAGGACGTCTACAGTGGTGTAGACAGCGTCTACGCTGGACGGCCATGCAGTGGGGACAAGTTCTATTCACTGACGAGTCTCGTTTTCACCTTAGCCACAGCAATGGACGGATTCGAGTGTACCGACGTCGAGGTGAACGTTACGTCAATCATTGTGTCATGGAAGAAGATCGGTTTGGGGGCGGCAGCGTTATGGTATGGGATGTGATTACAGCAAGACAGAGGACCCGTTTGATCCGGGAAATCTCAATGGACAGCGCTACCGCGACGAGATCATCGGCCCTGTTCTACCGTTTTGCGTCGTCATGGCCTAGGCATTACCTTTTAACATGGCAACGCCCGGCCTCCTATTGCTCGTTCAGGATTCTCTTCAACAAAACAACGCGAATGTCATCCCCTGGCCGGCTCGCTCCCCTGACCTCTCACCAATCGAGCACATGTCGGATGAGATGGATCGGTAACCTCGACGTCAACCACGTGTTCCACAGACACTCCAGGAACTTCAAAACATGCTCCAGCAGATATGGACAGATATCCCACAGGACTTTGTGCGACGCCTGGTCCATTCCATGAGACGAAGATGTGTTGCTTGCATTGCAACCAGAGGTGGACACACACGCTATTGATTTGTAAACTTGTTCATGGTTTTTTTCTGAAGTCACGCATTTTCTGAAGTCAGTATGGCAAATTAACCATTTGAACGCTTACAGGAGTCTTTTATCTGTTGCAAACCGAAATTGTTACAGATTTGGTAAAAAACATAACTTTGCATTGAATCTTATTCAATGTCACAGGAACTTTTGTTGTTCAGTATATCTGAAATGATAATTTCCCCTTTTTAAGGGAATCAGCTGGGGTACAGACGGGTCAGCTGGGGTACAGACAGGCAGGTCAGCTGGGGTACAGACAGGCGGTTCAGCTGGGGTACAGACAGGCAGGTCAGCTGGGGTACAGGCAGGCAGGTACGCTGGGGTACAGACAGGTGGGTCAGCTTGGGTACAGACAGGCAGGTCAGCTGGGGTACAGACAGGCGGGTCAGGTGGGGTACAGACAGGCGGGTCAGCTGGGGTACAGACAGGCAGGTCAGCTGGGGTACAGACAGGCGGGTCAGCTGGGGTACAGACAGGCGGGTCAGCTGGGGTACAGACAGGCAGGTCAGCTGGGGTACAGACAGGCGGGTCAGCTGGGGTACAGACAGGCAGGTACACTGGGGTACAGACAGGTGGGTCAGCTGGGGTACAGACAGGCAGGTCAGCTGGGGTACAGACAGGCGGGTCAGCTGGGGTACAGACAGGCAGGTACACTGGGGTACAGACAGGTGGGTCAGCTGGGGTACAGACAGGCAGGTCAGCTGGGGTACAGACAGGCGGGTCAGCTGGGGTACAGACAGGCAGGTACGCTGGGGTACAGACAGGTGGGTCAGCTGGGGTACAGACAGGCAGGTCAGCTGGGGTACAGACAGGCGGGTCAGCTGGGGTACAGACAGGCGGGTCAGCTCTAGGTAGTGCACTCTCATTTGAGGCTAGCCGACCATTATATGACATTAATAGTTACACTATTATCAGTGCTAGGCAGTGCAACATATGCATATCACTATTCGTTAGGCTACCCTACCTCAGATCACGTATATTCCATAAGGTAGAATGGAACCTATTTCTCGAGTGACGGGTTGGTTTCACTTTAAGCGTGCCGCCAAACACGTGCTCATCAAGAGATTATCAGGGCGCTTCTCCTACCCCTTTGCCGATCTGTTTCTCGAGTATTTCTGCTGGGACGTCACTCATAATCTCACTCGCTCCACAGTATGTGTGCTCTAGATTCGAATCCGCCGTGAAACAACAAACAAACCTTTAATTGCTTAATTAGGCAAGATTATGTGTATCGCGTCATATTATAGCAAAATTAAGGGAGCTACGTTTTACGTTTTCCTCCCAACCAAAATTTATCCCTAAAGACATAACGTGAAAAGTGTCTGTTAGAAGTCCGGCACTGAAGCGTTAAGTGCTGCAGCATCACACACAGTGTCTGTACCCTCCCACGGAATACACCCTACAACACGTCCCACTAGTCTGGTCCGTCTGAACACGGCTCTGTTTATGAAACAGTAATGAGTGCATTGTGAAAACACGGGATCACGGGGTCCTTCGCTGACCCCCCGACAACATGGCGCTTGACATTAGTTTGCCCTCAGAGGTGGCATCTTTATGGCCTCATTACGTGTAAACCAGCTAGTGTCCGCTGAAAGCTACACCTGTGTCACCATGACATCCGTCCATATATACTGAACACTCCTATACACCTGTAGTAGTGTTTTAGAGGCCAACTTTTGACAGACAATACCGTGTTTAACCACCGTGTCTAGTGAAGGTACAGGACGGTCCTGAATCAAAACTATCTGAAACATCTCCTGCAAGATTTACTCTTAATTTTCTTCATTTTCTACAACAATGAAGAGATTCTCTGAGCTCATTTGTCCTGTGTGCACTGGAAGACAGCTTCATTAAGGTTTCATTCAGCGACTTAAGTGTTAGTCTCCTCGGGAACGTAAGTACAACCATATCAGAATGTCAAGCGTTCCGTTATCGTCTGCCGACAGTATATCTAGACATGTGAACATCCTGGTTAGAAGTGGTCTTCAGCAACCCATGCTTGTCGTAAGAACTAACGGGATCGGTGGTCAGGCTCGCTGACTTGGTTGATGCATGTCATCGTATCCCAATTGCGTGCATCGGTGCTCATATAATAATTACTGGATTGTATTATTTATAAAGCTGGCATATAATACAACAAACAAACAAACAAACAAACACACACACACACACACACACACACACACACACACACACACAAACAATATATCTATATAGGATTGGGCGTGTTTCGGACGTCAGTCCGAGTGATAGACCAGTGTGTGGAGATAGTATGTGGCACGTATACGTGTTTACTTTTCTTACAGGGTACAGTGGGTCGCCATGCGCCATTGACCTGTAAGTGTCTGGAACTCCCGCACATTTGGTATCACGTGGGCTAGATAACTTGTCTCACGGAGCTCGGTGTATTACGACGGGTGAACACAGGTACTTGGTGTAACATTCTCGAGTGAAAATCACTGCCCATGTATACCGTTGGCAAAAAATTTAAGTACTTCGAAACGAAGTACAGTGTGCAGTACATCCCCCACACGTAGATAAACACGTAGCACAAACGCCGCGCTTGGGTGAACGTCATAGTCGGGTATCAGTGTGCATTCCACAAGGAAAATGATTTTCCTGTTTTCCTCGTGATTGCTTTCAAGAGGTGACCTTGTTCTGTGCCGATACGATGACTTAATTCCCCGGACTCCATGGTAGGTATATCGCCTGATTACAGTAATGTGATCCACTTCCATATGATGCGGGTTTTGTTGTTATGTGGGCTCGTGAGTCTTTGGTGAGCTCTGTCTTGGGTAATGTATCGATCACAGACAATGCCGTTGAGAACCATCATCATGTCTATTCCTTACAAGTTAAAAAATCAATATCAAGTATGTAAATGTTAATATGTATAATTGCGCGTACCCGGAGTTACTCAGAGGCACGTGGGAAGAGAGCGCTTTTGATTGCCAAACAGGTTTCGTGATTAACCTGACAACCACTCCGTGATCACAATTTTTAAGTCGTGTGAGCAGGTGCTCGTCAACGTTATTTATATCCATGTGGGTGTACACAACTACAGGTAATGTAGACAAACATAATGTATACATATTACATACCTCCCATGGCCGTGCTGCTTGTGGGGATCCTGTAGTTGGAGGTCTGACTCTCGTTTCAGCTAGGACAGAAGTGAGGGAGAATGTCAACAAAGGAGAAAAAATGTACAGTTGAAAGTAGGTCGCGTCTGTCAACCACAGGTAGTCGCGAGTTGTCTCCCTTCGACCAAAGAACACTCAGGTCTCCCCACAAACCGTGCGGATGTCGGCCATACACGTGATAAGTTATCGCGTAATCAATTGTATATTGACTTTCCTGGCGCTTTATGGCAGCTATTAAGTTTTACCAGGTGTTGAAATCACCAGCTCGCATTGCACTGATTCAACCCAGCTGGAACGTGTGATCCCTACTGTTGTGATGTAACAGACATGCCATGCATGATGTTTAACATTAGAAGTTGTACGAAGAACTTGACACCTTACTGGAAGAAAAGTGTTGTTTGTACTTTTGATTTCACACCTGATTAGACCACCGTGTATACGTGTGGATTTCAATCTTGTGGATTTTATCCAACGACATCTCCGCCAGTAGTCTACAGCAGCATTTGGTCACAGCGCTTCTCACGTGTGTGTGATTAGAGCTACTGGAAAAGGACGGGCACAGCTTGCGATTTGGGCATTTTCGCTTTTTATTGTCTGCCTTTGTAAAATTATATCTCAAAATGAGTTACGGTATTGCATGACGTTTACTTTTGGCATACCCGATCATCTATATTTATCTCACACATTTTTGTGATATAGTTTCTGATCGAATGTTGCCAAATACTGTATACCAATATGTCCTTTAGTAACTTACATACACTCGCAGTGGTCAGTGTCGATGAACAGATGTTTCGATATAGGGGCGGGCGGGGGCGGGGGTGTATCAGCAAGTACAGAATTATACTGGCACTCAAAAGCACTTGGATAATACTCGGGGGTTTTCATATGAATAAAGTTAATCTGTCATGGCTAGTAGGTATTGTAACGCACAGCCTTCTAAATTAGGATGTTCTTAAACTTGTTTTGAGTCGTATATACCTATAACGACGCGTGTCAACAGGACCTAGCTAGTCAAGCCTATGTAGCTCCGTGCTGTCAGGGCGTTCGATCAAAGACATGCGATTGTGACTTGCCACTGACACGGGCACTGTGTCATCAAACATCATGTTGGAAGGAAGATAAGGATGTCCGCGACAACATTGATATGGGTTTGTTGTGTAGATGCCATGAGTGACGAGACTTATATTAATGATATAAATACTAATTTTCATAAGTGAACGCTTTTTTGCAAAGATGAACGTCAAATGTTGGCATTATTAAGTTCTGACTGCCCAGAGCATTTGTCCATGGACTGCTGAATACTAAATACGCACCATATGCATCATGCATGCGGTGTACTGTATGACGTCTCAGTCTACGGGTGCAGCTAGATAGATCGGGTTGCAAGCGTTTACATGTCGCATGTATTTTTATCTCAGTCAGCTGTTCATATAACTTTTATAACACTGAATCCAATAAATGAAAGACCTATAAGTCACGACTGACAGGGAATTGCTATAACTGACTGTTTCACACCGTTAAATCTACCCTATCCTACGTTTTCGATCACATAAGAAAACACAAACATCACACATACACCAAACACAAACATCACACATACACCACACACACACACACATCACACATACACCACACACACACACATCACACATACATCACATATACAACAACATACATACAATCACACAAACATCACACATACACCGCACACAAACATCACACATACACCAAACACAAACATCACACATACACCACACACACACACATCACACATACATCACATATACAACAACATACATACAATCACACAAACATCACACATACACCGCACACAAACATCACACATTCACCACACACATACACCACACACACACACACAAACATCCAACATACATCACATGTACAACCACACACATACAATCACACATACACCACGCAAACATCACACATACACCGCACTCAAACATCACACATGTACCACACACAAACATCACACATACACCAAACACAAACATCACACATACACCAAACACAAACATCACACATACACCAAACACAAACATCACACATACACCAAACACAAACATTACATGTACACAAAACACATACATGACATGTACACCGCACACAAACATTACACATACACCGCACACAAACATTACATGTACACCACACACATACATCACACACAAACATTACATGTACACCACACAAACATTACATGTACACCACACACATACACCACACACATACATCACACATACACCACACACATACATTACACATACACCGCACACAGACATCACACATACACCACACACAATTATCACACATACACCACACACAGACATCACACATACACCACACACAAACATCACACATACACCACACACAGACATCACACATAAACATCACACATACACCGAACACATACACCGCACACAAACATCACACATACACCGCACACAAACATTACATGTACACAACACACATACATGACACATACATCACACACAAACATCACACATACACCACAAACAAACATTACATGTACACCACACACATACATCCCACATACACCACACACATACACCGCACACAAACATCACACATACATCACACACATACACCGCACTCAAACATCACATGTACACCACACACAAACATCACACATACACCGCACACAAACATCACACATACACCGCACACAAACATCACACATACAC